CCATAATCCAATTTTAGAATAGTTTCATCAGCCCCCAAAGAAACCCTGCATCCATTAGTGATTTCTCCCCAATCTTTCTCCCTGACCCCTGAACCCTGGAAACCACAAATGTAATTCCTATCTCTGTGGATCTGCCTATTCTGGACATTTCATATCAATGGAACCACACAACATACATGTCTTTTGTGGCTAGCTCCTTCCATTCAGGGTTTATGTTTATATGCTTACTTTAGAGAGGAATGCTGGGTTTAATTAACCACTGGGATTTAATGTTTTCTTCTTCATTCAGTCTAGTGTATTGATCATTTGCTTAAGTTACCAGTTACCCAAGGAGGGTAGGATGTGCTTAGAACATTTGGAATACACAGCGCAAATCCTGTCTGAGAGGTGGGGTCCCATTGCTCTGCTTCTCTGATTTGGGGAATCAGATCCCCCTTTCTCCTCTTTCCAGAAGCCACTAAGCCCCTTCCTCCATCCTTTCTGACTTTTCACCAAACCCTCATTGGGCAGAGGAAAGATGGGGACCAGAGCAATATCTCCACAGACAAGCCGTTTGCCCCTCTCTTCAACAAACGCAAAGGGACAGATGTGGCCTCGGCTTCTTCCAGCCATCCTGTCTGGAATCAGCATATGCATCGAGTTTAATTATGCAGTGAAAGTCATTTTCCTGAGCTGAACAAATATTTACAGCATATTTTGCTGAAAATGGCTTTGCCTGGAGAAAGGTTCTGCCGTTGGGCTGGCAGGTCTGGTGGGCAAATAGTCACACATTTACATACCCTGTTACCAGGGGGCCACACGGTGCTGAGCAGGTGGCAGACAAGCAGGTCCCCAGGAACAAATATGTCAGTGAAAAATGTGGCAGGTGTCAGCCAGGCCTGTGTGTTCTGGGCCCCACCATGGTGTCACTGTGGGCCAGTGACGTCTGCTGTTCCTCCATGGCAGCCCTGAATCCCAGCTCTGCAGCATCGAAGAAATCTCTGGGCTGGGGCAGAGAGAGCACGGTGCCTGAGAGCAGCTGTGTGATAATCATAACCACAGTCATCCCGCCCTGTGCTGTGATCCTGGGAGGTGATACTTAACAAGAAACCATGTAGAGCATCTCCCAGGGGTCCCACTGTGTTCAGCTTCCCATGCAAGAAAATGCAAGACAAAATTTCCAAAAGGCAGAAAAACCCATTTTGTAATATTTTACTCCCTCTGAACCTTGTCTCCTTCTCAAGCCCCCAGTTTTCCCCTTGGGGGAAACTGGATCTCATTGCACTGCGATGAGGTCAGTGGACTCCAGATTTTCTTGAGGGCTTCTTCTCCTCCTGCTGAGTTTTGTGGTTTTCATCAGAGTTCTGAGTTGGGGGGTGGTTGTGTAGCATCAGAATATTGGGATGGGGCTAGGACAGGAATTTTGCTCAAAATTCTTAAAAACCAGTGGAAGTACTGATCATCCAGAGATAATCCAGAGATCAGGTTTGGGAGAGCCCACCCCCCACCCCCCACTGTGTGGGAAGGTCTGGGGGTCCTGGGGGAGGACCTAGGATGGGTGATTTGACGCCAGTCCGGGAGCTGGGACAGGAGCTCCCCATTAGCCCATATGGGGGTGGGGTTGGGTTTCAGCTTCTTACTTCCAGTCCCATTGTATTAAATGTCAGCCCAGAGTGGAGTGGAGCCCATTATACAGTTGAGGAAACTGAGGTTTCCAGAGTTGTGTGTCATCACCTGAGGATACCCTGCTACAGGGAGGGAGGGTACTGACTCACACCCAGACACTCCGAGTCCCAGAACCTGTGCAGAGCTGGTCTGCTCATTGCATGCTCCTTGGACTCTAGCAGGGGCATTATTAGTATGCCATGCTGCAGGTCTGGGTGTCACTTCAGGTGACACTGCTGGTCAAAGGCAGAGCTGGGAGGTGTCCAAGGTCACCAGTACTTACTACCGTCAAGGAAGGAAGAGGGTAGGAGGCTGGGGGCAGGCAGCCGGCCCTATACCATATATGACGGAACCCAGTCCGTGTTGCTGCAATTGCTGACAGTGAGGACAAAGCAGGGGTCACCGCCCTGGCGGGGCACAGTCCCAGGAGCCTCCAGAGCCCATGCCTGTGGCCTTAGAGCCCTGGAAGGTACATGTTGTGTGGCCCAGAGGTGGGGGGGGGGCGGCTGACCAGAGGCTCCGGGTTAGGGCAGGCTGAAGGAGACAAGGGAGAAGGTCCCCAGGAGCCCCCTCCTCACCACCCCCCCACCCCCTTGGATTCCCCTCAGATGCCCAGGTGAACACAGGGACAAGTTTGTTGTCCTGATGCAATATGTGCCGTGCATCCACTGTATTCTGGTCTTTAACCCAGACCCCAGCAGGGCCCCGGGAACCCATGGAGGTCAGGGGGCAGCTGCTACACTGGACTCCATCAGAGGACGTCCGTACCTCTGTTGGTTTGGACTCGTGTGTACTGTGGGGAGGGCTGATCAGGAACCAGGAGCCTGACTTCTCATTCTCACCCCCACCCTGAGCAAAGGGCCACTCTCAAGGCCTCAGTCTGATCACCTGCAAATGGCCTTGGCCTTAGCTGCCTTCTTGCCTTCGCTTGACAGCTCAGGCTCAACGGTAGAACCACAGCCATCAAGGTCCTAGGGTCCCTATTACTGTGGGCCCAGCACAGAGACTAGGACTTGGAGGTGGGTGAAGCACAGCTGGCTCGGTTTGGGGAAAGTGACTTGGGCACCAATGGCGAGAGCCGAGTCCTTTTGGTTCCCTGAAAATTCTTATTCTGTTTAAGACACCTCCTCCAGGCTGCCTCCCTGGCTTCGTGGGCCAGGTGGCAACGCAGTCCTGTGTAAATCTGCTGGCTGGGTGGGTGATGCTGTGCCCAGGGAACTGTGAGGAGGACAGCTTTGCTCGAAAAGAGATGAAGCCTCCGAGAGCCTAGAATAGGACGCCAAAGTCTGGGGTCTGCATTTTAAAAACAGTGCCCCAGCTATATCCTGAAAGTTCCTCTCAGGGGTCCAAGAAACTTCCTGAGAGGGCCCCAAAGAGTAGAAAAAAGGAAAACAGGAGGCCTGGGTCCCGACACCCGCCCAGCCTCAGGTGGGCAGCCTCCTGTTCTGTCTCCCTTAGAAGCTGGGATTTTTAGTCAGAATATCTGTCAAGCATGGCTTCTGCAGCGAAAGGGAAGAAACAAGTCTGAAAGCCACTGATTTAAATTACTACAGCAGATAGCTCTTAATTCAGCTACGTGATTTTTCGCTGTCAGTGGTTTTGCTATCAAAACATGACACTTTGTCGGCAGAGCCCCGTCGGCTCTCAGCTCCTTAAAGGGGAAGGAAACTCTGGCTACTCTTTGGCAGCCCTGAAGGACCCACCTGGCCTCGGTTTCCCCACCTATAACATTGGGTGGATCTCAGCTTGCCCATCCACATGGATCCCAGAAGAAGCACAGGACTTTAAGGGGACGGTGAGCCTATAAGCTGTGGAAGCGAGCAGAGCTGAGGAGAACTGACTTCCTGGTGTGTGCTGAGCAGGAGAGCTGGCCCAGAAGGGAGACCAGCAGCTAGAGAAAGCCCTGTGCATCTATTGAATGCATGTGCCCAGTCCAGCGTGCGATCTGTTCAAACTGCCTGGGGTCCCCAGCAAACACCGAGGACAGAGGGACCAGAGGAGGGTACAAGGCAGCCGACCTTGAGCCCATCAAAGGCATGATGCCCTGAATACAGAAGGCGCTCCATCAATGCCTTTTGCTGTTCTCTTCTGAAACATGTTTCTGTCTCTACTCTCCTCCCTAGTGGATGACAGTGAAGAAAAGAGTTGCTCAAAAGAGAATTTATTGACAAAAGTCTGTGAAATTGGCCATGATATAATTCTTGTGAAAGACCGAGCCCCCAGACCCAAGGTTTTCTCAAAAAGCATGCTTTAAACTCTCCTGTTTGGAGAAGGAAATGGCAACCCACTCCACTACTCTTGCCTGGAAAATCCCATGGACAGAGGAGCCTGGTCAGCTACAGTCCATGAGGTCACAAAGAGTCGGACACGACTGAGCGCTGACACATCTGTTTGTTTGTTCTTGACATTTCAATCATACAGGACATGTCTGGGTGTCTCCCCACGCTCAGTCATTTTGATGCCAATACTTGGATTAAAGAAAAACAACAAACTCTCCTGTTCCACTTACCCAAGACCCACAATTTAAAGGTGTGTGGATATTCAAGGGCACTGATCGACGGCTTCAAGTTAATTCAGAAAACCCAAAGCATCGTGCCGTGTCACCTCCGGATGACAGTCTCTCTGCTCACACCTCCCCATCTGGCTCCCTCCATTCCCCTGCTCACCCCCCTCCACCAGGGTAGCCCCACGTTCTTTGAAGGGGATTCTACCACAGAAGGTTTCATCAGAGTCCCCTCTTCTTGGCTGTTCAGGTAAGAAAAACCAGGCAGGCAAATTCATCTTTTCTATAAAAGTTTATTTTGTGATTTTTTTTTTCCAAGAAGTGTTACGGGAAAATGTTCAAATTATGTAAAGGTACGGAATCGTGGTATATAAAAATAATTTAAACACACACATATTAATAGGAAAGCAACATCGCATTCTGGCAACAACTAGTAGGTAATCTTGCCCAAGATTTTTCCAAAGTCATTAAATACGTTTTAGACAACAGTACACAGATACACACGCATGTGCACACACACATATATACAGCTCAAGTGTCTTTTTCTGTGCATTCTGGCTAATTGATACAGCTAAAGGGAAAAGACAAAGAAGACTGTCTGCTTGAGTGTCCCTAAGTTGAACAAAGGTGCATGTATCTTGCTATTTCCTGGAGCCTGCTATTTCCCTCCCCAACCTCATTAGTGACTAGCTTGTCTGCTATATGGTCTTATCTGAAAAATTAAGGTGTGTCTTTCCATCAGCCCCTGGGTGCGGTCATTGCAGTGCTGCAGGCGGTGAGAAATCAGGAAGCACCACGTCTCCTGTTCCTGGTACATTGTATGGATTGCAGGCAGGCGGTCAGGCGAACCTGGTTACATCTGGCTGATTCTCTGCTTCAGGGCCAGGACCTCATTCTTGATCTCGGGGGGGAGATCGGCATTCACCTGTTCCTCCAGGTACTTCTGTATTTCTTCCACCTCCTCCTCCCAGAACTCCTTGGACATGTGGAAGAGCTCCTTCACGTCAACAACCCCCAGGCCACGCAGGTCCAGGGCACCCTCATGAGGGATGTAGCCGATGGGCGTGAGCTGGGGGCCGCCTTCCCCGTCCACGCGGTTGAACATCCACTCCAGCACCCGGGAGTTCTCGCCGAAGCCGGCCCAGAGGAACCTGCCGGCCTTGTCCTCTTGGAACCAGTTGACATGGAAGATCTTGGGCAGCTTGGCTGCAGGGCGCTGGGCCATGCTGAGCCAGTGTGCCAGGTACTGGCCGAAGTTGTAGCCGAAGAAGGGGCGCATGGCAAATGGGTCGTGCGTGATGATTTTGCCTGTTAACAGGGTACTCTGTGGGTAAGTGAAGCCTCACAGGACTACGGGCACATTTACTGTTGACACGGCCGCCTGGCTTTCTGTACCTCTCTGCATATACAGAGAGAGGCACGGGGAGACAGAGAGATAAAGAGACAGAGGGGCAACTGAGACACAGAGATACAGAGACAGAAAGAGCAGAGAGACACAGAGATAGAGAAACAGAGAGAGGCAGAGAGAGAAAGAGACAGAGAAGCAGAGCAACAGAAAAATAGAGAGACAGAGAAACATGGGGACAGAGCTGTCACTGTCCCTTCTTGGCGGCCCCGGATCTTCGCCAGACTAACCCTTGTACTCCACCGCTGCCGTGGCCTCAGATCTCATGGCTGCCCCCACAAACACGCCGTGCTGCCAGCTGAGAGCCTCATAGACCAGAGGGACGTCTTTAGCAGGAGAAAGAAACGCTCCTTAGAGGCTTTGACCCCCAGCCCCCTCAGCCGCAATGCTGTCTCCCAAGTGGAAAGATGTGCTGTGTGTGGTTGTCTCTCTTCTAAAGGGGCTGACGCTGCAGCTCCAGAGCAAAGGGTGGACCTACCACATCAGAGTCACAGCAGGGGGCCTCGTGGCCAAAGTCAGACTGGGAGCCACATCCCTGGGACGAGGACCCAGGAGTTCTAGTGGCCAGAGACTTAGTTCTATGCCCGAGCTTGCTGATTACCCTGTCATTTGTGAAAGGAAGCTCTGTACCCCTGACACCCTCCAACCAGGTCATGGAACGTGAGCCCTTGTAGTGACACACCCCCCCAGACTGACACACCCGTGTCCCAGCCCAAGAGCCTGGGAGCCTCAGCAACAAGCCGACACCCTCCAAAGATGATGCCCTCAATGGGCACACGCTCTGGAGACTCCCAGTCAGGGTCAATGATGGGGCACTGGCTGGCCGGAGTGCAGAACCGCGAGTTGGGGTGGGCGCAAGGCTCCCCTACAGCAGCAAGGGAAGACGGGCCCTGAGCATCTGGCCCAGCACACACACCCAAGGGTTGGGGCGCCAGGTCTCCTCGGGGGCTTACCATCCTTGGGGTCCCACTCCTTGCCCTTCCAGGAAATGAGCTTGATGCCTGAGGCCAGGAGCTTGTCAATGCCTTCCCAGTAAACACCCCCGTCACTGGTCTCGGCCACAGTGGTGAAGATGGTATTCTTCTGGATGGTCTTGATGGCATTGGGGTTTGTCCTTACAGAGGTTCCCGGAGCGACATCAAAAAACCCATTCTCTGGGTTGATGGCCTGCAAGTTACCTGACAAGTTTTAAATCAAGGAGTGGAAGTGAGTATCAAAGAAAACATATCATCTTATATCTTGCCAGGTTAATTTCTGCACCAAATTGTCAAGTCTTTTACTTTTTCCCTTCTCCCCAGAATCTCTTCCTCTTGTCTCATGCCAGCATTATTAATCAACTTTGACTCTTTCTCACCAGTTTCCCATCAAACTATTTTAACCAACCTAGGTAGCTCAGTGGTAAAGAATCTGCCTGTCAATGCAGGAGATATGGGTTCGATCCCTGGGTCAGGAAGATCCTCTGGAGAAGGAAATGGCAACCCACTCCAGTATCCTTGCCTGGGAAATCCCATGGACAGAGGAGCCTCGTGGGCTACAGTCCATGTTGCAAAGACTCGGACATGACTTAGCAACTGGACAAAATGTAAACAAACAGTGATAGACGGTCGCATTTCAATCCAGATTGGATATGAGATTAAAGAAAGCTGATGGAATACATATGTGTGCACTTTTGCAAGAACTAACTGAATTAAAAAATCTGGACACTCTGGACTTGGGAGGATTTGGCATGTTTAGACCCAAAAGTTCACTAGGGTCCAATGATTATCATCAACACCTGGGCCTAAAAGAGTCACCTTGTTGGTCAAATTTCACCCAGGTGATATCATCACCCACAGACTCTACTTTCCATCGTGGTTGGGTAGGGTTCATCAGGGCCAGGTTGGTCTTCGCACAGGTGCTGGGAAACGCAGCCGCAAAGTACTTCTTCTGGCCCTTGGGGTTGGTGATGCCCAGAATCTGTTGGAGACAAGATTTCTCCTGAAGCGCTTGGTTCCTTTCTACCCTAGAGGTCCACGCCCTAGTCTAGGAGGGGGCCTGGAAGCCATTCATCATTACTGATGGAATTCCCAATGTCCTTGGAGCACTGAAACGCTGATGCCTAATAGGAATGCTAATGCAGTAGGGGTCTGCCACTTCCCCTCCTCTGCCGGACCCTCGGCTGCACACATTTAGAATTCCCTGCATCTTACCAGCATGTGCTCTGCCAGCCACCCCTCCTCCTTGGCCAGCCGGCTGGCCATCCTGAGGGCAAGGCACTTCTTCCCAAGGAGCGAGTTACCGCCTTACCCACTCCCAAAGGAGATGATTTCTCGGTGGTCAGGCAGGTGGGCGATGAGTGTGAGCTCGGGGTTACAGGCCCAGTTGTTAACCAAAGGCTCCGCGCAGGAGGACACGCCCACATGAGTATGCCATGTCCCCAACAGAGCTTAAGGGTCACCTTTTTCTTTTTTTAATTCTGGCTTTTGATTTTGGAATAATGTGCTTACTTTTTAAAGGCAAAGTGCACCCCACGGAGTGGAGGCACTTGATGAACTCGCCATCCCCCAGCGCTTCCAGGACGGCAGTGCTCATCATCATCATGATGCGCACGCTGGTCACCACTTAGGGTGAGTCTGTCAGCTCAATGCCAATCTTGGACAGAGGAGAGCCCAGGGGCCCCATGCTGAACGGCATGACGTACATGGTGCGACCTGTGGGCCGGGAGGTGGGAGCTGGTGAAAAACAACCCCAGACTCACAGACAACCGCCAGTCATGACCCTTCTCATGATCCCCCTCCGACAACGTCACATGTTGCTTGCCACCAGCCCCTTGATTAGATGAGTCCTGTGGACTACAAGGAGATTACTCCAGTCAATCCTAAAGAAAGCAACCCTGAATACTCATTGGAAGGACTGATGCTGAAGCTCTAATACTTTGGCCACCTGATGGGAAGAGCCGACTCATTGAAAAAGACGCCAGGAAAGAGTGAGGGCAAAAGTAGAGAGGGGTGGCAGAGGATGAGATGGCTGGATGGCATCACCAACTCAGTGGACAAGAATCTGAGCAAAACCCAGAAGACAGTGGAGGACAGGAGCCTGGCATGCTGAAGTCCATGGGGTTACAAAAAGTAGGACACAACTTAGTGACTCAACACCAAAGGAAAAGGTGGCCATGGCAGCAAAGTTAAGTTTTCATAAATGTGCAGCGGGGTTCCACCAAGCTATCTTAAATCCGCGAGCATAGACATTGTTTTCCTGGTCGTTGAAGGCAGTCTATAAAACCAGAACTGAGACATACATTTTCAACATGTGGCCAGTCCTTAGGTGGAACTTATGACTCTCCGAGCAATGGGAGCTCCTGAGACAATTACTGGTAGGAAAGAGGTGAAAATAAAAGGTTTGCTGATATGGCACCCAGCCAAATAAAGGTTTCACTCACCTTTCATGCGCCCTGGAAATCGGACGTCGAACGCTTTCTCAAAATCCTCCTCGGACATCCAGCAGCCCAGCTGGCTGAGGCCGGTTTTGGGGATGGGCACCATATCTCTTTGCTCTCGAGTGATGATGACCATCTTGCTTTCAACTCTGGCCGCATCCCTGGGGTCTGTGAGAGCCACCCGGCTACAAAAATATAAAATAAAATGAAATAAAATACAGAGGTTAGGGGCTTCCCCAGTGGCTCAGTGGTAAAGAATCTGCCTTGCAACGCAAGGGACACAGGTTCGATTTCTGATCTGGGAGGATCCCACCTGCCATGGAGCAACTAGGCCCTTTCACCACAACTGTTGAGCCTGAGCCTGTGTGTAAGAGTGCAGGAGCCGCAACTACTGAAGCCCCCACACTCTAGAGCCCGTGCTCTACAACACGAGAAGCCACCACAATGAGAAGCCCTGGCATTGCAACTAGAACGTGGCCCCCCGCTCTCTGCAACTAAAGAAAAGCCCTTGCAGCAACGAAGACCCAGCACAGCTGAAAATAAATAAGTAAAGAAAAATTGAAAACACACAGGTGGGGATTCGAGAAGTGCTGGTATTCTGCATGGCATCTGCTCCCTAGGTTCCCTCAGCCATGGACCTTTCAGGAAGGGGACGGTTTTCTCATCATCATGTTCTTCCCACACCTGGCAGGTACCAAGGGCACTAAGGATGCGCCATCGATGCGGACACAGCCATATCCACTGGGACGTGGTCAGAGGGACACTCACTAGACCAGAAGTTAGTGCCTTAGGACAGGGATGGTCAGACCTTCCTTTCAACTGGGCACCTGGTTTGCAAACAGAGTTTGCCCATGCCCCTGCACTGATGACTTGGGCTGCTCTGCAAACGTCATAAAATTAAGTCTACATGGTTCTGGCTCTTTTACTAAGTTTTCCAAGAGCCTGCAAACCACACAGCCGCACCCCGGCTATGCTGAGGCCCATGTTCTCCTCGTTCCACCTGCGCCCTGGGTAGAGAGAAAGGCCGAATGCCGGGGGGCAGAGCTGTGCTCACCAGTTGTCATACTTCTTCAGCCTCTTGATCACACCCTCCTCCTCCATGTGGCTCAGCAGCTGCCGGTTCTCCTCTTGGAGCCATCGCAGATGTGGACTTGGTCAGGCCGGCACAGCTTGTCGCTGCTCTCCCCAAACTCGCTCACAGCCTGGGGCAGGCTGTCCAGGGAGCCCCGGATGATTTTGGCTGAATAGTTGAGGCCGTCTGAGAGCTGAGGGGGCATCTCTGCAGAGCTGGGCTGGGCGGGGGGGGGGGCCACGGATGCTGAGGTTCCCTGCAATAGAAAAAGCACAGGTTTCATGAACAAAGACAACCAAGGATGCCGTCAACTCCACGCACTTTGTCGGGGTCACCGTCGTGGCTGGGAGGAAAAAGAAAACCAGTTCCTATTAGTGCTGAAGTTTGTTAGAAACGTATGTGAACAGGCTCTGCCTACCTTTCTTCTCTTTGGATGATCAGGTCAGAGGCCCAAGGGTCTCTTGCAAGGCCCTTCCCACGGGTGAGCGTGCGTTCCCAGTGGGAAGGCCCTGTTTGGGGTTTGGAGGCAGAACTTCCTGGCCTTTAAATTCCAAGAAGGAGAGAGGCCCCGCCCCTCAGCCACACCCAGAGAGGCTCGACTCTGACGTCAGGGGCTGGTCTTTGGGTCAAGGCCACGATCAGTTATGCTTTGGACTGGCTCACCACAATAAACCCAGGCAGATAATCATTGAACAGACAGTCGTTAATGAGTGCCACGTGGCCTACGGCCCCTGGACCAGCCATGACAGGCCCTTACACAACTTCTGACTGATGGAGCTCTGCCCCATTCCCCTGAAAATGAAAAACACACGCCCTCCTGTTGAAGGGAAGGGTGGGAAGGTGCAGAGGCTCGTGGGGGACCTCAGGGATTTTGGCAGTGCATGTTGTGTACAGATGGTTGCTGGTTGGCAGAATGCGGCAGTGGTGAGGTGTTACCCCATGGTCAAAGGCCCACGGGAAGAACACCCCCAAATGTGGGATGGTGCCCGGCTTATTGGCAACTGTCTGACCTAATTAGGGGCTATTAACCTTATAGAGTGTCCATGGTGTGCCCCCTGCCCCCACCCCAAGTATAAATTCCACAAGGGCAAGGATCTCTTTCGATTGAAGCTTCTGGGCTGGTACCCAGGACAGAGGCTGCACATCAGTCATAGAAAGGGATTTGGGGACGGGGGTGTGAGCAGCTGGACAGCAGGCCTGACCTCCAACCTGGCTCCCAGGTCCTCCATGGCTGACCGTCCTCCTGGAACCTCCCTGCAGTGGTCCGTGCCCTGCTCTATCAGTGGCAGACACGTGGCCTCACGTGGTACCTCTGCAGGATCCTTTCACGTGCCTGGGCTGCCAGCTCTCTCGGCCCCTCGGTCTGCCAGCTTGAGTTCCCCTCCTCCTGCTGCCCATCCCCGCTGACCTGGTCCTCTGTGCCTCCCCGGGGACTCAACCACTGTCCCCGTGGACCCCTGCTCCCTGTCTCTCTGCTGCCTGCCTTCTGGCAGCTCTGGAACACCATCTCCATATTCAGTTAGAATCTTCACGTGGCCCCGGTCCAGTCCCCAGCTCCTGCCATCTTGCTCCTGCCTCCCCTGCCAAACTTCAGAAGAGAGCTGTCCACACTCTGTCTCACCTCCTTCCACTGCCCTCGCTCCTTCTGTCCCCTCGGGTCACCGCAGACCCCTTGCCGCCAGACCCTGTGACCCTCCCTTGATCTCACAGCCTCTTCTCTTCTGGAAACTTGTACCCTGGCATCCCCAGGGCTCCTCCTCCCCCAGCCTGTCTCTGGATGCCCAGTGCCAGGCAGGACATCGCCTCAGCCCTCTGGTCAACAGCTCCTAGGTGGCTCCTTAGATGCCTTTCCAGCCCAGCCATGGCTCTGTGTCTGCCTCATTTGGCCCAGGAGATGATCCCTGCCCATTGTACTGATGGGGACATCGAGGTTTCCTAGGTGGGTAGTAGGAATGGAACCCTCGTGCTGACTCTGCCAGACCCCCTTGCTCTACTCTGTGGACAGCCTCCTGGTGGGATGCCTCTCTCCCCACAAGGAATGGCATCTGCTTTATGGTTCTGCAGAAGCTATCAGGGAGAATAATATTTCAGTGTGTCAGCGCTGAGCTGCTCTCCAAGACGTCTTGCCTAACTGGTCATTCACACAACATGGGCCACAGCCTCTTTAACGCTCTTCAGAGAAGTTAAACATGCAGACAGCACGACAAAGCTGGCCCCGGTTTACCTCCCAGGAAGCAGGCCTCTCGCTAGCTAATCTAGAGGCAGGATTAAGCAAAGCCACGACTAGAATACCCCTGCCTCAGAGGAGAAGGAGTGAGCAGAGGGAACGTCTGCACTCTGAGTCACTTGTCTAAAGCCAGTGTGTCAACAGCTTCCTTTCTGCATTCGTGTCTCCCAGCAGCCAAGGACAAAAAGTAATGGGATTGGACCACAGCAGAGCAGGTCGGCAGGAAGAGCCCAGCTGTCACCAGCTTTATCAGAAAGGATTTTGATGGGTAAATTTCAGCAGGCTTACTGTTCAGAAATGAGCAAGGATACAAAGTAGCGAAACCTGTAGGATGCAGGCAGAGTCTAATCCAGGTAATGTTAAATTGCACTAATTTTAGAGAAACCAGGATAATTCATAAGAACTGGTAACTGAACAAAGTAGATTGTTTTAGAGAAACCAGGAAAATTCATAAGAACTGGTAACTGAAAAGTAGATAAGCCTCACGTAAGCATGAACAAGGGGGGATAAAAGAGAGAGAGAGAGA